TGTCCAGTATTGAGGACATTTTCGTTTTCATGATTTTGTATGAGTTCCGCTTGTTGCATGCATAATTTTGTTATATAATCATATACGTACGGAATTTTGAAAGTCATGTGTAAATCGCGAACCGGTGTGTGCCTTGGAAAATTGCCAATGGTGCGGAGAACCTTGTTTTGCAGGCGCTGCAATTTCATTAGACGGGTGTCTGCCGCAAACTCCCAGGCGGGACTAGCATAAGTCATTACGGATCTAATAAGGGCTTTATGGAGGGTTAGTTTAATGTTAGCGCTCAATCGCTCATTTTTGAATAGGGAATACACTCTAATGAATGTTCTGAAGGCCTTGGCTGCGATCATTTCTATGCGCAATCTCCGTGTAACCCTCCTATCAAAGATTACACTGAGATATTTTACACAATTTACAAATGGAATATACCTTCCATTCAGTGTAAGATGAGACATAGGCGGACGACGACTTCGAGAGAAGTAGATCCCCTGAGTCATATCTTCATTAATTTTGATATTCCAGCGCTCACACCACGTCTCTATTGAGCTGAGACCGCGCTGGAGTTTTCTAACAACAAAACCCTCCTTGCGATCTGCCGCATACAGACAGGTGTCATCTGCAAAGAGGGCTAGTTGAACGTCATGTGTTGTGGGGGCAGCATTTATCTACATATTGAAAAGAGTAGGGGGCAGGACCGAACTTAGTGGCACCCCTGCTTGCATTTCCCTTGGCGTAGATATTTCGCCTTTCACTGAAACACTGAATTTTCGTTGTGAAAGAAATGATCCAATAAGCTTGATTAAGCTGGTCGATAATTCCAGTTTTGACAATTTATATAGCAAGCCCGAGTGCCTTGTACGAGTAGTATCAAAGGCTTTTTCGATGTCCAAGAACACCGCAGCCGTAGACATTTTATTGTTGAAATTTAGTACCACGTGGTCTGTTAACCTCATACATTGCAGTGTCGTGCTGTGACGTGCACGGAAACCAAACTGCCATGCGTTAAGCAGGCCTCTTTCTTCAGTGTGCTTCTGGAATATTTTCAGAATGACTTTCTCGAATAGTTTTCCTGTTTTGGACAGGAGTCTAATCGGACTTAAATTTTGAGGGAATTTTGGGTCCTTACCGGGTTTCGGCAAGGTTATGACTTTTGCTTCCTTCCAAGGACTTGGAAAATGGGACAGCCTAAGGCAGTGATTGAATAAATAGGTCAGATGTTTCAAAGGTCGCCTTGGAAGGTTTCTGAGGCATCCACGTGGAATGCCATCAATTCCGAAGCCTTTCTCAATTTCAAAGAATTTATTAATTTCTGTAAGTCACATGGTCTTATCCTCTGAGGGGGGCTGTTGTCTACGTCTTCGAGTAGAGCTTGAACTCCAGCCTCCACCCGCCGTTCATGGTATTCATCACTCAAATGCTGTGGTGTGAACTGAATCTCTAAACAGTCAGCAATTGCGTTCGCTTTCTCGGATGGATGAAATTTAAGGCCTGACGAACCATGAATAGCAGTTGGTGCCCTTGGTTCATCCCTCTTTAGGAGGAGTTTCGCAATGGGTCGTATAGCCTGAGGTGTGATTCTGTCACTGCATTAAATTCTCTTATAAGCACTCTGTACAGACTCCAAGGAAAACACCGTCTCTCTTTTTCCTGACATTATTGCTTAGGCGGAAGTGTGTTTACTGAGCAGATGCTTGGAAAAGGGCTGCATAATCCCATTGGTCCACCGCTGCTCGGCGCAGACGACATAGAAAAAACATCGTCATATATTGTTGCATGCTGGACCGTATTTACAGAGCTGTTGCCTGGCAACCCGTTGAACAAGTCTGTTATAATATCGATTGTTACTGCTGCCATTTTATGTTTGGTCTGGAAGATCAACACCGATGCAGCTGATGTCAGCGCGCTGCGAGGAGTAATGCACGTAGAGGAGCGCCGAGCGATCTGCACTGTTCCTTCTTAATAAAGAAATCGTCGGGGGGGGGGTCAGAATATGGGTGTCAACTAAGGCCTGCGTTTGAGATTTTCGGAAGTCGGTTCTGATTCTAACTTCACGGCAGTAATCCCCATAGCTCTCACTATGTCCATGGAGTATATTCCTTCTTGAGATGTTAACTGTAGGTCACCTAGTCATGAAATTCCCAACATTTCATGATAACCGAAAGTTCACTGTCGTATTGACGAGAGGCAGCCAGCCATTCGTTCATATTCTCAGTCAAACTACTGCACTACACATTCTCCCAAACACTTCTTTAACGTTCATTTTAACAGTATCCCCCATCTACGTCTAGGCCTCCAAATGCTTTGTTTCTTCCAAAATTTCTGACCAACACATTGTATGTATTTTGTTCTCTGGTATCGTGCTACATGCCCAGCCCATCTCATTCCCATTGACTTGGTCACCCCAATAATATTTGGTGAGGCGTTGGTCCAGAAATTTTGACTCTCATGATTATGCAGTTTTCTGCAGTCTCCTATTACTTAGGCCCAAATAATCTCCACAGTACCTTCACCTCAAACACCCAACATTGAAAATACAAATAACAAAAGATGTGAATATAACGACAAGCACTCACTTCAAGGTGGGAGTACAGCCAACTTCGGAAAAGTCATATAGATCAAATATTTCTCAGACAGTAGTAAATAACTAATTAGCTCCATGAAGCAGAGTCGTTCCTGAGAGCTAGATAGTTGCTCAGCTGGTCAAGAAATTATGGAACTCAGATTTTAATTATGGTAGTTACTATAGGATTCTGACGATGGTGTATAACACACTGATATATTGGGTTTTTGGACTTTATCCATCGTCCTGGTTTTTAAGATAACTAATAAAAACATGACGTTTCGGAAACTGGATCTGTTTCCGTCCTCAGGTGAAGGAAAACACTTATGCTGTTGGGTCCGTTAGAAAGAGCTAGCCTCAATCACTGGTCTTTCTAACGGACCCAACAGAATAGGTGTTTCCCTTCACCTGAGGACGGAAACAGATCCAGTTTCCGAAACGTCATGTTTTTATTAGTTATCTTAAAAACCAGGACGATGGATAAAGTCCAAAAACCCAGTATATCAGTGTTTACTTATGGTGTTCACAAGAGCACAAGAGTTAAATCCATCCCATGCTCTCATATCCTAATTCTTAAGATTCAATACAACACTGCCTTCCCATCCCTTGCTAAGTACATAAATCGGTTTCCTCCTTTTCGGCTTTTCATTTCTCATATCGCGGTAAGTGCTGCAGCTCATATTTCATGGTTTAATTGCCTTAAAAGTGTTTGATGAGGAGCAAAAACCGTGAAGCTTCTCACTGTGCAATTTTTCTCCTCCCCAGATTCTTCCCTCCGTGGCCTTTAGTCCACAAGCGAACTATATCGACCGAGCAACCGCCGCTTGTCGGCCAAGTTAGTGTCAACTTTTGCGGATAGACGGTGTCGCGTGGTCAGCGAAATGGGTTTCCGCGGCCGTTAAACTCGGTTTTATAGAATGCGCATATAGATACAGAATAAATTTCACATTCTTATAAAACAACAGGTCGAAGCACAGTTTTACATATTGTCACGTATATTAGTGACTGTAGATGGGATTTGGATTGGAGTTATTGCGTCTTATATATTTACGCATTTCGGGACTACAGGCAATACAACGTTACCGCTATTCTACATCCTTTCAGTTCGCCGTTGAACAAGCAGTAAGATTCTCAGTCACAATGTATACACGTCACAATATAATTTTTAAGCTTACAGAGAGAAGGCGGAAGGCAGGAGATTCTGAACTGAATGGTAACAAGCATTCTTTGAATTTAATCTGTTCTTGTCTTACTGGCGGTTGTATGAGTGGTAAACAGAACTGTTGTTTTGAATCTAAGAGGGAGGAAGTAACACTAGGTTGAAAAAAACTGCACAGTCAGGGGGGATCTTCATAATGTATATTCATTACCAAATGCTTTTACAACGTTTGAAGTCAATTAGAAGACTGATGGACATGCCGCCCGCGGTAGAGAAGAGAAAAGTATACACGTAAACTATTAGTAGGAAATCCTGAAGGAAGTCCTATGCATGGATGGTGAGATAATATTAGAATTGATTTTAAGAAGGAAGTTCTGGGAAGATATACTCGGCTTTTTTTATTGCTAGTGGGGTGGGACTAAGTCCCTTGTACTGCGGCCACTTCTGGCCTATTGTACCAGCCCCAGCTGATAGGCGAGGGTGATTGTGGAGCAATTGGTGGAATAAAGATTGGCAGGGGAAACCGAAATACTCGGAGAAAACCTGCCCCAGCGCCACTTTGTTCACCACAAATCCCACTTGACCAGACCCGGGGATCGAACCCGGGTCGCCGCGGTGGGAAGCCAGCAACTAACCGCTTGAGCTATGGCGCGGCCCATCTAATTGCTTACTTTACTTTGATACGACACGGACCGCATAGCCTAGCAACGATAGCGGGACACATAGACACATGGAGAGTACGGTGATCTCACAAGCCTGATTTCATTTTTTCAAACTAAGGAAAGTAGGGTGAAAATAGGGAAGAAGGTTATAGACTGGATTAATTTGATTCGAAATAGGAATCAGTGGTTGGCTCTTATGAACACGATACAGTAATGAAAGGCCGCGCCATAGCTCAAGCGATTAGTCTCTGGCTTCCCACAGCGGCGGCCCGGGTTCGATCCCGGGCCTGGTCAATTGGGATATGTGGTGGACAAAGAGGCACTGAGCCGGATTATCTCCGAGTACTTCGGTTTCCCCTGCCAATCTTCATTCCACCAAATTCTCTATCATCATAATCACCCGGGGCAGGTACAATAGGCCAATCAGCGGCCGAAGTGACGAGTGGACCCAGCTGGACTCCACCCCCCCCCAAGCGAATTTTAAAATTCTTTTACAGAAATGGACCTTCGTGTTCCACAAAATACGGAGATTTCTGCGACACTATCAGCTGCTCAAGGAGGACTTGTCTCTATTGAGTTTGTTAATAAAACTACCCTGATATCAGCACCGTACATTTACCTGTGTTCACTGTCCGATGCGATCGCAGGAAGTTATTCCCTTGGTTCAGAGTCTTCAGTGGTGTCTGGTGTTTACTGGGTATCCTCATCGATGTGGCCGCCATTTTAGGACTCTCGGAGCTTTCGTTACGCCCGATTCAAAGGCGGGTAATGAGAGAAGTACACACTGGAGCATGTAACGGCAGTTGTCATAGTTTCAGTTTCCCACTTCTGGAGCAACAGCAACGAAGAGAAGTGATATCAGGTCTTCGGTCAAGTGGACCTCTGTTCGAACTCATAATGTTCCATTCTTCGATCTGCGAACACATAACAAACACATACATTTAGAAGGCGATGGAAGAAGTTGCAAAACGCTCCAGGGTATTGTGGGACTTCTTCCAGTTTTTAATATTTCTGGAAAGAAATCCCACATATTTTACTGTGGTGTCTTAAGAATAAGTCAACCCACTGAAGGAAAAGCTTGATTGAAATATCGTTAAAACTTAGTCACTACTTCAAATAATGCAAATATCATCATAAATATAGATTTTTGACGAGCGTTACGGAAGATTTGTGGTGTTCACGGGAGTGAATGAAGATTACTGTCCTATGGACATGAAGCAGTGTACTTTTGCACATAGAAACAAACATTTCGGATGATGCTGCAGATCCAACTTAAGGGCAGATGAGCGGAACAAAACACCTTGGCTTTCTTAAGACGAAGGTTTACGAATTTGTGGACTTAGCGAGAGAAGTCTCCCCACTGAGATATGAGATTTTCAAGATGGTAACTCTGAAGGTTGGATGTAACGTCATGTAGAATGGCAGATATGTAGGGAGCAACTTGCTTCTTCCATCTCCAGGACAGAAGAATCTTCTATCCTGAAGATGGAGACATATGACGCCATGGATGTCGGTAGTTGGTACCAATGTCTCGAGAAGAAGCTGCTGCCTCCATATTCAGAGCAGAAGGTAACCCATGTATCAAATTACACGGCGTCACATTCCAGACTCCGGTGATCTTCGTGTTATGAATGTTCTGCTGTTTGCTGTGATACTGAATTGAATCCACAGAGAGAGACTTCGGGGGATGTTGAAAGTTAATGATTGTTAAAATCTTGGTACACATAATTACCACAGAAACTCCGCACTACCAGGCTTCAACAGAAATATGTTACAGACACGGAAACCGCCATTACTTTCAGTTTGACAACAGCCAAATGACAAAACGAAAGCTCAGCTAAAGATTTCGTTGTGAGACCTACGTAACAAATGTCCGATTCCACACTGCAAGAATTCACCGAAAGTCTTTTATTATTTATCACAGGTTCTCTTCACTAATGCCGCCAAGGCAGTAGAGAGTAGGCAGTGAACACTTCCCTCAACGCGAAACTTGAGGTTCTCATGACAAAGGCCATGAATACTGTTTTACGGGGTGTGATGCTGTGTAGTCTGGTAGAGGTTTATCGATGTATCGAAGGAATATGGTGCCTCTATCTTCAGGATAGAAGAGTAAAGGCCACCCTGTAGTTGCACTCACGTTCCTACGAAATGTCAATAAACAGACAGACAACGCGAAGCACATCTCATAAGACGGTAATCTTCACCTTCTTCAACATTCCTCTCGACTCGTTATCCGTTACCAACCTCGGAGTTCCTTCGAAAATGAATTATGATCTCCTACATTACTTACAGGAAGCCCTCAGATACTTAAGCATACCTTGGAAGCCGATACGCTTATAGAAGCTAGCAAAATGTGTTCGGACTTCTGTACGATCAATGAAGGTGTTGTTTCTCGATCTAAATTTGTAATTTTATAGCCCCATCACACGAAGTGCATAACATGAACGCAAAAAGAGTGAGTCGTGTCTGTCCACAAGCTACATTTCCGAAACTACTTTTTCGATTAAATATGATTTTGTACGTCTGCATCAAACTTTGTTGGGTGAATTTAATTTCAGTTAGTATATATCCAATATAATCACAAATTTACAAGAAACAAGAATTACATTTTACTGCGTTTTTTTCAAAAGAACCTCATCATACATAACAATGTTCATAATATGTAATTAACTAAACGTCCTTTAAGATATGAGTTACGAAGCTGGCATGAATATCTCACCATTGTACCCTTTAATTTCCCGACATCTAAAATAATAGTGGAGTGGCCGAGGAAACTTAGAGATGGGAAACAACATCAGTGCCACTAATTGCAAGTCCTTGAAAATTTGTATGGAAATACATATTTTGAAAAATATGAAGGTAAATACTAAGGTAAAGTTGTCCTGTGCTCAACGAAATAAGCGCTACGCCAAGATGGCGTACGGGGGAGTGCATGTATAGATTCATATTTTCTTGAATTCAGCTCGAGCTGCAGGTGAGTGGTCAGCTTCACGTCCCGGCCGCTTTACCTCAGGGAAAACAACCCCCGATACCCATTGGATAGGAGTTTGGGTGGACCCCAGAGCCGGTTTGAACTATTTGATGAAGAGACTCGAATTCCGACCCCTCAGTCATCCAGACCGTAGCCAGTCGCTATACCGACTACGCCACCCCGGCTCCCTTAAAAAAATATGCAACTTCACAAAAACATTCTTCTGCAGAATACAAAAATGCACGGCGGCAGCGCGAAATCTACACTTAGCTTTAGGTCTGAAGCGATATCGAATGAACCGCTTGAGCTAGGCAGGAGGATAAATCACAAATATGAGTATCTACAAATTCCATAACTGATAAATGTTTACGTCCCAATAATTGCAAACATGAATATAAGTAAGTAAAGTAAAGCTACCCCTGTAAGATGCCGTGAAGGCCCGTAGGGTTGTGAGATGTTGAGTGTCCCACATTATCTAGACAATCGGCTCAAAGATGGTGGTAAGGTTGTCAGCCTTACGCGCCGGCCGCGCTTTACTCCCCAGGAAAATAATTTAATTAATTCCTGGTACTAATTTCTGTTAGAGGCTGAGGCGACTCCAGGGCCATAGTGCGACTGGAAGGATTAGGTCAACTGAAAAAATCCAATGACCCCATCGGGACTTGAACCCGCATATATATATAATCAAGTGTTTTAGCCCTGCTGTTTGTTAATTGCGTAAGTGAATTAGAACCACGCCAAAACTGGAGGCCACTACTGTAAAACTAAGGACTTAATATCACGGCTTCATCATTCGTGTACGCTTAGTCATTTCTAAATTACATACTCATTAAATTCCATTACATCCACCCGCGGCGGCCCGGGTTCGATCACGGGTCTGGTCAAGTGGGATTTGTGGTGGACAAAGTGGCGCTGGGACAGGTTTTCTCCGAGTACTTCGGTTTCCCCTGCCAATCTTCATTCCACCAA